AATGAATTTGTACAACTACAATAGGAACTATGCAGTTGGAATCTTGTACAATTTCTAATAAAGGTCCTATTCTTTCCTCAAAACCCTCTCCTTGTTTTATAATAGATGTGTATTTAGGATCTAATAACCACAAAGCCTCTATTTTAATAGATTGAGGAGCCTCACCTTGTTTTTTAGATGAAGAATTTATAAAAAGTCATAATATACACTTAGTACAAAAAATTAAACCCATACACGTAGAAATCATAGACAATCGTTTATTATCTTTTAAAGATATTACTCATGAAATACTTTCTATAGATGTAATAATAAATGGTCATAATAGTCATGTAATTTTTAATATAATTAGATCTCCTTCTAATCCAATCATTTTAGGTTTATCGTGGCTAAAAAAATATAATCTTGTGATAGATTAGATTTCTTGTAAACTTGACTTTTTTTCAAACACCATTAAGTTTTTTTCTAATCCAATAAAAAGCCATGAATCTAGTATAGCCAAACATGTACTTATATATGCAAAAGCTTTTTTAGATGCTATAAAAGAAGGATCATCTTTTTTTATTTATGCCACACCCATTTCAAATAATGGAAAGATTTCAAGTGAAATTCCAAGTCAATATTAAGATTTTAAAGATATTTTCGAGAAGAAGAATGCAGATATTATCTTGAAGCATCATCCATATGATTGCTGAATCAATCTTAAAGAAAGAACTTAGTCGCCATTTGGTCCAATCTATAATTTATCACAAAATGAGTTACTTGAACTCAAGAGGTATATTGATGAGAACTTGGCCAAGAATTTCATACGCCATTGAAAATCTCTTACAAGAGCTCTTAACTTATTTATAAAGAAAAAAGATAGTTCAATTCAAATATGTATGGATTATCGAGGATTCAACTAGATTACCATCAAGAATAGATATCCTTTGTTTTTGATATCTGAACTTCTTGATCAATTAAATCAAGCTAAGATCTATACAAAAATAGATCTACAAAGAGCGTATAATTTGATACACATTAAAAAAAGAGATGAATAGAAGATTACATTTCGAACAAAGTATGGACACTTTGAATATAATGTCATGCCTTTTAGACTCACAAATGCACCAATTGCTTTTCAATATCTTATGAATGATGTTTTTTGTGACTTTCTAGATGATTTGGTTGTCTATTACTTAGATGACATTTTAATCTACTTTAAGAATGCAGAAGAATATGAAGTTCATGTTTGTCATGTATTACAAAAACTTAGAGATGCAAGATTATATACCAAGATGAAAAGTGTATATTCCACACTATTCAAGTTGAAACATCATTTCAAACAATGGTCTAATGATGGATCCTAAAAAAATTCACACAATCATAGATTAGAAGATTCCAAAAACAATAAGTGATGTATAATGTTTTTTGGGATTTGCCCATTACTATCAGATCTTCATCAAGAACTTTTCTTAAGTTGCAACGCTACTTACACACTTAACTTATAAGAACAAGCTTGAGTAGAATAAAGAAGTAAAAGCATCATTTTAAGCTTTGAAGAAAGTTTTTACTTTTGCACCAATCTTATATTACGTTGACTTCTCCAAAGAATTTTTTATGGAAAAAAATGCATCTAATTTTGCCTTAAATGTAGTCTTTTCATAAATAGGATTAGATGACAAACTTCATCTAATAGCTTTTCATTCAAAAAAAATTTCAGCAGTCAAGATTAATTATGAGATCCACGATAAAGAACTTCTTGCAATTGTGGATTCTTTTCAAGAATGGCACCATTATTTAGAAGGTGCTTCAAGTCCAATCACTATATATATGGATCACAAGAACCTTGAGTATTTCATGTTAGTACATATTTTGAATCGTCATAATTCTCATTGGAGCATGTCTTTGTCAAGATTCGAGTTCAATATCACTTATTGGCCAAGAAAACAATAAGATTTGTCTAATGTCTTTTCTAAATGTTCTTATCTTACATCAAAAGAAGGAAAATCAACTTTTGATCAACAAAAGATAATTTTACTGAAGCTTGAATAATTTCATCTCGGAGTAATGAAATCAATATTAACTATTGATTTGACTTTTTTCAAGCAGATCCAAGCAAGTATGTTCTCAGAGTTTTTTATTCATGATATTAAAAACTATTCCTCTAAGTCTCAAGATACTTTTGAGTTTGAATTTAAAGAGAACCTACTCTATTTCAAAGGATACTTATATATTCCGGAAGGAGAAGCATGATTACGTGCTCTTGAAGCTCATCACAATTTCTCTGCAGTAAGACATTTTGGATATAATAAGACTTTGGAGCTTATATCTAAAGATTTTTAGTAGTTTCAAATGTAGAAGGCTATTAAAGAATTTTTGTAGATATGTGATATTTGTTTAAGATCAAAAACTTCTCGTCATCGACTTTATGGACTCCTCCAACCATTACCTATACCAAAACAACCATGGTCTTTTGTCTCTATAGATTTTATCATGAATCTTCCAATTTCAAGTTCATATGATTTCATATTTGTGATTGTAGATCGTTTCACTAAGATGGCACATTTTTTATCATGTACAAAATTTATCATAGGTGAAGGAATAGCTAAATTCTTCCTTGACAATATTTATCGCTATTATAGATTATCAAAGGATATTATATTAGATAAAAGAATATAGTTTTTATCAAGTTTTTAGAGAATTCTTTTAAGATATTGAAAATGGATATAAAACTATCTTTGGCTTTCCATCTTTAAATTGATGGACAAACAAAATGGATAAATCAAATTTTAGATTAGTATTTGAGGTGTACCATCAACTATCAACAAGATGATTGAACAATTCTTTTGCCATTGGTAAAGTTTGCTTACAATAATTTGATACATTCTTGTACTCAAGAAACATCTTTCTTTGCCAATTACGGTTATCATCCACGATTTGACACTTTTGACTTTTCAAAAGTTAATAATCTTGCAACAAAAGATGTGGCAAATTGATTGTCAGAGCTATATGCAATAATGAAGGTACAATTAAAAGAATCTCAAGCATGATAAAAAATCAATGCAGATATCTATTGCAAGGAACAACCTCAATTTCATGTGGAAGATAAAGTATGGTTACTTCATCGTAATATTAAAACTATTTGTCCTTGTGACAAGCTAAATTATCGTAGGCTTGGACCATTTCCCATTTGTCAATAGATCAATCTAATTGCTTATCGATTACATCTACCAAACTCTATGAAAATCCATCTTGTATTCTATGTATCTTTACTTGAACTATACAAGACAATGGATATATAAGGAAGGAGACAAATGCCACCACTTTCTATAGAAGTAGACAATAATGAAGAATTTGAGGTGGAAGAAGTCTTAGATTCAAGGCGGTACCAAAATAGGTTAAAATATCTAGTACATTGGCATGGATATGACATTAATGAATGCATATGGGAGCCATCCAGGAATCTAGGAAATGCATCAACTAAAGTTAAAGCTTTTCATCAACGACATCCATCAAAACCAACATGAAGAGTCAAGAAATTCTTTGCTATAAAGCAAAGCAAGCCCAATGGAGATTTCATTCTATCTTGTATCATTGTTTCTTTAGATTTTTTAATGCTTAGGAGATGGAGAACCAACAACTAGCAGATTCAGCTCAAGAGCTATCATTTACTGAGCTACATGACGAGACATTACGATTATCACAACCTTCAAGATTACAAAATTGAAATGAAGATCTTTAAGAACGATATATTTTTTCTTGAATAGATGGTGAAATATAACGCGTTTGGTACCACAACCTTAGAAAGCATCCCTGTTGTTTAGTAATACTTTTGGAAGTATGAACTACTCTTGATGGTATTACTAATGTTTTGTTTGAACGAAGTTATGAAGGCCTCAATAATGATCAAATATTAGGGTGATCTTCTCGCCCTAGTATGGGACATTATTGATGGTTGAAGGGACCTATCAACTACCTTCAAAGGAAACAAAGATCACAATATGTGACAAATACAATTCGATGCATCTTAGACTTCATCAACATACAATGACAGCTCCTTATGGAACTCGTCCCTAGAAAGGGGGATAATGTCACAAATATACATATTTATCTTGATAATTATCTAAATAAGAAGAATATGTAGAAGTAAGTCAAAGTAGATAAATATGATAATATCTTGTAGATAGCTTCTTAGAAGCTTCATAGATACTGCTTTGTCTTTATACATGTCTATAAGTGATTAGTAGGTTGAAAACTTGGCCAACAAAGAAGCCAAGTATCCACATGTTGACCACTTTTAGTACAAGTTGGACATATGGCACACACCTAGGAAACTTGCTTTGCAAATTAGACATGTGTTTTATAAGTTGAACATGTATTAGATGTCCTATAGCATGTCGCCACATAGTTTTTAGTTAAGTAGTATATATAGAGGCAAGAGTGAGGCCTTCTTCACTCTTGTCAACTCCTTTCTTGCTTTTAGTCTAGTTTCAAGAATCTTATGTTTTCTAGACTTTGGCAATAGTCATTCTAGTTCTTCCTTGAATATACATATTTTCTTCTATTTTGTCACTTTCTTTTTGATACAAATTCCATGAGTTTATGTATCTTCTTCCAATTTCTGTCCTTGACAAAGAATCCCATGAATGTATTCTTTTTTAGATTATACTATTGTTTTATATTTCTACTATAAAATATTGGTTAGGCTTTAAATAGTTTTCACTATTCCAAAATAATAACATTACTACTATCATTTAATGCAAGTGTATTTTGTACCAATTTCCTTAGTTAGATGGAAGATACCAGCCCATGTTTTACTTAATTGTGAAAAAAATCAGAATATTAGCTCAAGCTCCCGAACGCACGTGCAGCAGAACAACAACCGGTGACCCCTCCAACTCAGAAAGGCACAGCCACTGTTGGTAACTGGGAATTGCCGGTAAACTCAGGAGATTGAAGCGTAAACCCCGCTTGGGGCTTTTAGGTCGTCCTAAACTCTCACTTCACCTCCGCGGACTAGCAGGTTCGTCTCGCAATCGGTGCGATTGCTTCCCTGCCCCATTCATTGTGTGCGGCATCGGGTCCTTCCATCTTTCTCCTCACTTTCCCAACTTCATTTCGAGCATTTATTTGTAGCTTTTGGTGGTTTGTGGAGGTAATTAGAGATTGCTGACAAGTAGAAAGCGTCGAAACTGAAGGGACTTTAATTTTAGGTTCGTTTGGCGTTTTTGCCATTTTCCATTGTAGCTGAGGATTTCTGGTCTTAAGGTGTTGAAGTGGCCGACAGTTGGTCGTGTTAGGCGTTTGAGTTTGGAGCGGATTGAAAGAAGGGAGTTCAATTTGTCGAATCAGGGTTGGGTTTTGATTGTGCCGCCTTTTTGCGGCAATTTTTGCATTGTTAATTCGATCGTCAATCTTTTTATGTGAGCGCTTTCTGTGTCTAAATTTTGTCGTATTGGTGCAATCATGGTTATTCATATTTCGGGGCCATTGTGTGATGCGTAGGATTTTTCTTTTCAAATCTAGTTCAAGGAGCTGAATCCGGCTACAAGGAGATCAAAATGCAGGCTGTGCGGGCTGCTGTGTTGAAGCGCATGCGAGTGGGAGTGACCGCACCATGGGTTCAAGCTCCTGTTGTTACCAATGCCTCTCGGCTATTTTCCGCTGAGGCCCACGGGACGTACTTGGACAAGCACGTCGTTACCGACCGCGTTTTGAGTGTTGTCAAGAAAATGCAGAAAGTGGATAGCGCTAAGGTATCGTCTCGTGATCAGAGGGTCAACTGCTTTCATATGGAATGATATTGAATACACGTGAAGAAAACTCACGTGCTTTTATAATTCTTGTGAAATCTTATGTGGTATGACATTATTATGCCTTTAGGGTAGGAAGCTCGAAACCAAGAATTTGTCCACCAACAATTCTCTTCAGCTGTGTCCTCTTGGCTGCCACTGGTGGTGTGACTCCAGAGCATGACCAGTTTGTAGTGATCATCGCTCGTGACGTCATTTTTCTATATGGCTCGAGATGTGGGATTGAAACTATGAGCAACGGTCTCCTAGTACTGTGTTGAAGAATTTTTTTAATGTTTCTCACACCAAAACCTAATTACCACTATACGTATTATAAAGCGGCTAAGCAATATCATTGTGTGTTTGGAATAGGTGACTCCCAATGCACATTTTCAAAACGATTTGGGACTCGACAGCTTGGACACTGTAGAGGTTGTCATGGCCTTTGAAGAGGAATTTGCAATTGAGATCCCCGATGCTGATGCGGACAAGATCACTTCGTGTGCCGATGCTATTGAGTACATTGCTTCTCAACCCAGAGCAAAGTAAAGAAATGGATTAAAGTTTTGGTTTTACCCAGGCAATTTGTGAATTGCAATGAAACTTGTGGAGGTCCTCCTGGTTGGGTAGGATTTTCGTGTTCTGTTATTCTTCGGTGTTGAGGATATTACATGCCAATCTTTCTAGACTTAATGTAAGTGACAACTTCACTTTCCCCAATATCTCTCATCATGGTGATAATAATACAGCGGTCTTCATTGCAATTAGCGAGCCAATGTACTTGCAACTTTTTCAGTGCTTGGATTATATCTTAAAAAATTCAAGCGGCTGGACGTGTGCGTCCTAATCGGTTGGCAATGTACTGTCGATTGAAGTACCGCGTATTTATCCAATCAACGCTAGATGTATTTGAAAAGGAGTCTATTTCGAAAAATTCCGTCTGCTTTACAGTGATGAGAGGTACTGATAGAGTGGATTGTATGTTAAAGTAGAACAATGTTCCAACACCAAACAAGTACACAGTTTGAGATTGGTGATGTTCAAACAGACCTACACACATTAATCGAAGTGCAAGCGATGTCGGAAGTGTCCTGATCAAAGATGAAAAATATAGTCTATTCCACTTTCAATATTTGCAGGGGACTTACCACTAACACCGAGCGATGCCAACGACTATTCGTACAAATGAGCAGCGAAAAAAATATCACATTCCACTTCCGAAACTCGTTCAACGCCGGACTATGAGCCTCCCTTCCATCCTAATCCCACGCAATGTCAATTACCACTAGCAATTTACACAACCTTCAAGCGAAAATCAACCTATACACAAACCATAACAGCTATAGCTCCTTCCTTTACCATAATCACTAATAATATGTCATCTTGCTGACATCTAGCTTTCAGTTACAGTAATGTCCAAAGTCCCAGTCTTCAGTCATATCTCAAACCCCATCTTATTTCAGCATGGCCATCATCACCTTCACCTGCACTCTGATATGTTAATGCGTGCATGTGTACTTTTGTATAGAGTGCAGTAAATCACACATTCTGTAAGAGACCTTCACAAATATGGAACAAAACTGATGTCGTACAGACTTTTACTACCTAAATTGATTACACTCTTCATAGTATAGTACACTTAATAGGTTCACAAACCATCATCATGAAAGTTTGAGGTTGAGCTCTGAGAACGTCCAGTGTTATAGACATAGCAAGGAGTTGCACCACACACTTTCAAGTTGAATTTTAGTTATAGGCAACACTAGGAAACTAATAGAAGGTATATCTAACATCTATGAATGATAAATTTGAAAGTCAAGACTAATGTTGGGAGCTAAATTAAAGTTTGAAACTTTTGAAGTTAGCATTAGGATTAATATAGAAATTAATGCAAAGAGTAATCATTGCAGACTTAAAACATGAGGGACATAGATCTATGAGCATAGAGACGATATTGGCTTAACATACAAAAATTGAAGAAACAAAAATGATCCTTTTGTATTGCAAGGCATAAAAAAAAAAAAACACAAAAACACAAAAAAACTCAAAACACAAAACACAAAAACACAAAAAACAAGAACAAAAACAAAAAAAACACACAAATAATTCTATCTCACAAAACAAGCACGGAGAGAAAACTGTTCCAAGGATATGATAGAAGTTACATCAAATACACTAAGCTTATAGAATTAACAACGGTGGAGATTGATAACCCTCTGGAATGTGTCAAAATTGAATTTCTATTTAATTGTGTTGTAATTGTAGGTTTTGCAGAAAGTAACCAAACTCCTCCAAGCATTGATGCATGCCTTGCTAAATTAGAAAAGTATTTAAGAAAAACAATTTAGAAAAAAAATTGGAAAAAACCTCTAGAAAACTTATATTAATTAACATTTGGGCATAAGTGATAAAAACTTTGAAAATGCCATTACTTACAGTGTAACAATAGAGTGCAAAAGTGTAGTATATAGAAATCATAATAGGAAGAAGATTTCATGTAAGAGAACTAAAATTTAGGACAATTCTCATACTATTAATTAAATACACTGCCTATAACTACAATTAAACCTAGCACTTGTAATTGCACTCCCCTAGCATATACGAAAAATTACCAAAGTCAATTAACTAATGAATCATGGCAAGAAATACAAAGAGATTTAAAATTGAATTTTTTGGATTTTTAAAATTCTAAATACAATAAAAATTTCATCAAGATACTTAACGATATTGTATAATGCAATGACATATGAAAACAATAAAAGACCCACTTAAACCCAACGTCCAAAATAAACCAGGAAATTCATACCCAACCTTTACAAATAAACAATTGTGAAGTGTGTTCCTTTTCAGTAAAACTAAAACTAAAATAACCAAATTCAATTTTGAGAATAACCACGAGGTTAATTTAACTTCAGGTTTGTTCCGAAGAAATTTTACACTCAAATAACGTGTCCCAAATGAAATAACACTTCAAATTTGTCAGATATCAAACATAACTAAATACTTGGAATACTTCCATCAAAACGCTTCTCACTTCTTCCAAAGGATGGAAGTGGATTCAACTCATACACACCAAAATATGGCCATTACATCGAATTCATTCAAGATTTCACTTCTCTAGCATTCCCAACTTAATCCACATATTTGAGCAAAAAACTTTGTTTCCACGCAAACACCTCAATAACACGACTACATAAAAACAGATAACAAAAAGCAAGAACAAACAAACACATGCTGTGACGCTGTTTCCTATTGGTGAAACATTCCAACCACTTTGTACTTACAAATTGATTCTACAAGTGCCTACAGATGCTTCTGCATCTACCATGTGTTTGTAAAAACTTCTCCTACAATTTTTGTGCAACCAGATATTTACTGCAGAAACACGCAAATTCGGCACTCGTCAGACGAAAAAAAGAAACAAGACGACACGACACGACACCGTGAATGTCGCATCCCTGAACTCTGATTGCATCATTCAAACTATCTCCACAACTACCGTAATCTGCTCAATCGCAGCACCCGATAGCACGTTGCCAATCAAAGCATCCAATAACATCCCCATGTCACTCAAAACAGCATTCCATAGCACACTCTGATACACCCCTACCCACCATGTACTTCCATCCAACTTCTACGCTATCAACATTCGTGCTTTCTGCCACCCCGACCTCACCCGCACCAAATAACTCAAATGCTGTCCCCTGCTAACTCAGCATCACCGCCTCGCAAACCCGAACGCATCCTCACTTCGTACTCACCGCAACCCCCACTCACTTGCCCCGGCCATCGCCCACACGATGCACTCCACTAAGATTCCCACTCCTGACCACGCCCAACACACCCCACCCATGCTCACGCCTCCTTGCCTCCCTGCCACAGGAGGACCCCTCCGACCTCCCACCTCGAGCCCATCCCATCGCGCCTTCCCACACCCAACGCGCACTCCCGTGCACCAAGACCCGCTCCCTTTCACATACACCGACCTACTCACCCAACGATATCCACCATTCCGCTATGCGATCCACGCTCGTCGGGGCATTGCTCCAACATCCTCGCACGTCCTTTCATCTACTCTCTGCACATCTCGACCACACACGCTCCACACTATACCACTCACACCAAAACCGGTGCCGGTCCACGACACACACACACAAACACACACAACCACACAACACAAACCCTCCTCCCACGCACCCACCCACAGTAAATCGTACCCTTCCATCCCACGTTCACAAAGCGCATTCAACCCACCAGCTCACCCATCACCTCAACTACTCCACTCCCCTTTTCACCGCAAAAACACAGCTTGCAACTGCACCCACAACCACACGCCACGGCCATCCATGACTACCATCCTCGAAAGAAATGGGTACTATGCATTCATGCATCCCAGCCCGTAGGCCACCCCGACACACTTGGATGCGCACTCTTTGCTTACTCACGATGACTCAACTCTTCATCGCCAAAACATCTTAACATACCATAATGTCCGCACCACTCTGCCGGTAATGCTGGAAGATAGGCAATATCAAACAGTTTCTTCTAGCCTCCCTCATTCATACAACACTTCCTCTAGTCCCATCAGTTCATGGTCCCTCGTGTGTGCACAAACGCCCAGCCCAGCATTCTGGACTGCGCTTGCTCAACTGTCACTGTCAGGCCCAGATCGTGCTTTGCAACCCGCCTGCTACTACTATCCGCCTTATCACGGCACACTCTACTCGAACGCCCACTGATTCTCCCTCCTCACTTCCTCTTCCTCCTCCGGAGTGAAGTCGTTCTTGATGTTGAACGTTTTCCTGATCTCCTCCGGCGTCTTCCCCTTTATCATGTCCGCCACCGTCTGGCACGTCAAGTCCAGCAGGTTCTTGATGTTCAAGTAGTTCGCTGCCTGTTCCCATCATTCACCACCCCGACGTCAGCACAACTCCTCACCCCAAGTCACCCCCTCCTCTCTCGCCCCACAAACGTTGCACGCGCCATCATCGCGCTTCCGCCCCCGCTGGGATGCACCCCATCCCCCGCCCTGCACGCAACAAACAGGGTCGCATGCACATCACTTACCAGGATCAGGTCGAACAGCGTAGCTTGGTCCACCTTCACAAAGTCCGCGTCCCACGCCTTGATGTCGTCCTCCGAAGCGGCGGGCTTGTCATCCGTCGCCCCCTTCTGATTATCCACGTGGTACTTGCAGTATTCGATCACCTTCGCCAGGATCTTGCTCGACACGTTGGGCAGCGGGATCACGGCGTCCTTGCCCGTGTCCTCGATCATGTTCTTCACCGCCTGTGACTCGAACGCCACCGCCTCGTCCACCTCGAACATCTCGTCATCCGAGCTCCTCAATTTCACGCGCTGCTCCGCCATGGCCACCAACAACGGTCACCGGATCCCTGCACACACCCACCCAACATATCAACCGCGTTCAGAATTCCTTGTCCGCCTACCACCTCCGGTTCCGCCACCACCGTGCTTCCCCATGCCAATGTGACCAAACATACTCGTGACCCCACCACCAAATCGTCGGAACCACCGACACTTGCGATCGCCCTCTCCGACGTCGACAACCACCAAGCCTCGACCGGGACGCACTCACGCCGCACAATGTAGGCGTGGGCTCCACATCGACACCGCCGTGGGCGAGAGACCAACCCTGGACCGACCACAACGGCCAACCCCTCTGCGGCGTACTCCGCTCGCCCACCCTTTGCTCCATGCAAATCGACGCCATGCTGCGCAACAGGGCTCCGCGGCTCGGAACCCCCTGCCCGACCCACCAGCGCCCACATACCCTAAACGCCGCTGCAATCCTAAAATGCTGCCGACCACGGAGTCTCCCAGCGTCACGCCCTGACAAAGCTGCGCTGCTACAACTTTGCCACCAAACTCAACGACAACCTATGCGCCCACTCGTGCTCTCCCCCCCCCCCAACACTCATCGTAGCTCAAACGGGATTGCGCACCACCCCTGGCCGCTTCCCACGACATGCCCGGTGCTCAGCGTTCCTTCAAGAACACTCTTAACTCGGGCGCTCACTCGTACCTCATCCAACCCACCGTTGTGCCCACGCTAAACGCTAACGCAACCAGACCCTTTCCACCCCACGCTTGCGTCAAATTCTGACGACACCAACCCACCCAATCTGCTGCGTGTTCTGCGACACCCACGCCCAACCGCAACACACAAACACCCGATCGATGCCGCGCCCAGATTCACATCGCTTCTCGTCAATCCTTCGGACCACGGACCGCAATCCGCTGCCCTTCGACGGCCCCCCAAAGCGCACACAAATCGCACCCCAAGTATCAATTCTCCAAACGGGTTCCCAAATTGAACCCGCGAAGATCACCCGCGACCCTAACAATCCACCTCCGCGGCCCAACCTAAAGCCCTGGGCGCTCGATCCTCCTCGTCCTCTACTTCCATTCCCGCAGCATCAATAACCACATACACGAACGAACAAACAAACTGCACCAGACGGACCATTACCAACACCAAATTCGTCGCGGAGAAATCACCAGGCAACGGGACCCGCCACACAACCTGCACTGATACATACACTCACCTGCGGGCGTGATTGAGGATACCGCACAGCAGAACGGCCCTGGATGCGATGCAGCGACGTCAATCAGCTTCGCAATTCCCTTCTCCGGCTAACGAAGCGGGAGAGCCAAACTGCCAAAAAGCGCACAGTGACGATGATGAAACGAGAGCTAAAATGAAGAGAAGCAGCAAAATCGGAAGGATGGGAATCGCAAATTCCAGAACGAAGGGAGTGCGCGAGGATCGAAGCGCCGGTCAGAAGAGAGGAGTCGCGACCTTGTGGATTGGGAACGGCGGCGAGAACATTCGGGGAGCTTCTAGGGAACGAGGGTGCAGCTGTGGGACGAACGAACGGACCAGATGAATAAACAAATAAAACAATTGTTGGATGAATCTCCCGGTTTGGAGTCCCGATCTTCAAGCACATGTACCATTGCGATTTATAACGTATTCAATAGCAACTTCTAAATTTTCATATCTTGCATTTTCTCACAGCATTTTAGCATGGCTTTGGTATCTCTCACCACAAATCTTATGTTTGTAAAATAATGGATTGGTATGTTTTGGTCTTCCAGTGTTGTTTTTTTTTTTTTTTTTTTTTTTTTTTCGTTTTTTGTTGTTGTTGTTGTGAGAATAATTATTTAATTTTCTACCATTGTATATTATTACATATTTAAGGATATTTATAGTATTTCTTCTTGTAGATCTTGTAATTTTGACATTCTAATTGTTCAATTGTATAATATTCTAAATATTTGCTAATTGTATTTTATATATACCCTTAAAGTCTACTTTGGTTTCTTTACATAAGTTTAGTTGTGATTTCTTTTTTTATTTTATGCTTAGCATATTACTTAGATCAAATGAATTAATAATAAAAACTTTGTTTTGATCAAGGACTATATCTTAGCTATATACAACATAAATTGGAACTAATTCTCTTACATTATCCATATTATGATTGAATCCATGTTTTGCCAATAATATTTTATTATATGCAAAAAAGAATATACTATATCATTTTTGATTGATTAGAAGATTTTCTATGTATTAAATCTAGTATAGTCTTGAGCTTTTGATTTGATATATTTCTATCACCTTCACATTTATTCTATAACCAATGTTATCTTAGAATAGGTTATCATTCCTTTTTTTTTCATGATATTTTTTTAGAAAGAAGTTATTTTTTTATAGAAATCATTTTATTTTATACCTAATAAATCAATTATATTAAATTAATTCTATTTAATGTAGTCGATATTCCATGTTACATAGATAAATTTAGAAAGTAGATAAATAAGAAATAGATATAAAATAGAAATAAATTAATATGATTATTACAAATTATAAAAAATATAAATTTTTTTGAATAAATAATATAGACTAAAATTAGACTTGATAAGATCAAGAATTATCTAAATCTTACTTCCATACATATTAGCTACCAAAAAGGTCTTATAAAAGTTTTAAATAATAAATAACTACATATGCAAGTATATTTACTTAAATTAGTAGAATTAAATTGAAATAAGTAGATGTAGGTTAAATTGTTGATATCTTATTAGTAAGCTTTATACGTAGGCCACATAATCAATTTAATACACTTTAGATATTAAGAAGTTTTCATGTTAATTAAAATGAAGCAACTTTAGGATCCTTTTTAATTAAGTTCTTTAATTATTCTAAAGTTTCCTTGAATTTGTTGGAATATTTTGAAAACCTTTTAAAATCTTCTATAATATTTTTTTTGAAAATCTTCTAAATCTTTTAAAAATCAAATAGAATATTTTAAAAATATTTCTAAAATCTTCTTATTGGATGTGTATAATATTATTTCTCCTTGTAACTCTAAGTTTTACAACGAGCATTGATTTTATATCTATAAGAATTCAAAGATTTGTTGAATAGTAGTTGTAACTTATGTTGCTTATTGATTTCTATTTAAAAGATAGACTAATCTATTTAGATAGCAATAATGGCTACCTTTCTTTTCTTTTAGAAGACCTATTCTTTAGACTTGGTTAACTTTAAGGCCTTCAAAACATCCATGAAATGTTACTTTAGTCCCATTAGAGTCTATTACACCAACTTGCAATAAAATAACTAAAGCTTGGATATAATTTTGGAAGTTTTTTTGATTGAGTTGAATGTAGCATGGATGTTTCTTTCCTTCAAAAAGTCCAGCTTTATCTTAAGAATGATTTTTCGAAGATTGCAAGATTTAGAACAATTCATCTAGTGGTTATTATAAGAAAAGATCCAAGTCTAGGTCTAGTTCTACTTGAGATTCATAATCTAAAGTCTCTTTTAACACTCTCTAATTCAATATATTAGCTCATAAATTAAATAGACTAAATTTTAGTGACATTGTTGTTAGTGATATTTTTTTTATTTTTTTATTTTTTAATAATATAACATCTTAATAGAAACTTTATAGAGAAGTTAGCATAAAATAGGTTTATGTTTTTAAGGATAATATTAATGAAACTCCTATACCTTCTGTGACATATTAATTAGATTTTCTAGTGGTTGTTATGTGTGCTTATTAATATTATAGCCACTCCAATGAATGAAGTATTTTAACTTTTTTTTTTTTTTATTTTCCAAAAATTAAAGATATTTTCTATTTCATATTCCACATGATTATCTATTTCAATATAAAGTGGTGATAGTTGCATTCTTTATGGAATAATTGATTTTGTATAAGCTTCTAAAAAAAACATAAAAGGCTAGATGCACCTTCATGGATATGGGTAGTTCTAACTGATAAGCCATTGAATTGATTTGCTCTTGAATACAAAATGGTCTAAATCTTTGATAGTCCAATTTATCACAAATCTGATTAATTTTGATATTTCATCAAAGAAACCATATTTTATCTTGAACTTAAAAAGCAAGAGTTTTTTTTTTTTTTTTTTTTTTTTTTTTTTTTGAAATCATCTAAAGTTGCTTTGTAAGAATCTTGAGCTACTTATAAATAAAGCTTCAAAGTTGTTTGAATCTATGATAATTTTTTTGCAAGATTTTTAGCTGCTAGATTTTCATCTGTTGATATATCTAATAAATCAAGCTTTAGATGGTAACCATAATTAACATAAAATAATGTTTGTTGTTGAAAAAAAGTATAAAAAAAATATTATTATAAGTAAACTGTATTAAAGTTAGATACAAGGTTTAATCATCTTGATAATAAGAGACTGTACATTACAAATATTGCGCAAAATTAGATTAATTTTTCTATAAAACTATAAATCAATTGCCTTCCAAATAAGCCTAAGTCTTGTAAGGTAAGACTCCCATCATATGTACCAAAATATAAGCTAAAATAAACCTATACTAATTGAAAGTTTATTTTAAATAATAATAAGTAAATAAATTATATTAATTTTAGAAATTATAGTTATTAATCAAATCTAAAGAAATTCACTCTTAATCTTCTTTAAATACTTAAATTATTAATCAAAAACCTCTATTATTAATTTATACTTATAATAGTAATTTATTCAACATACATACTCAATTTCTTTTTAAAATTCTTGATTTAATTTTTTGATTTATTATATTATATTATATTATTTATTATTTATTTCATATTAATTTTTATCCATTAAAAATCATCTAAATATAATTTATCATCCATGAATGATTTTTTTATCTATTTTTAAAATTCATCTATACTTAAAATTTATCTTTGATTAAATTTTCATCTAACATCTATTTACGTAAAATCCTAATTTAATTGGCTTCTAGCTTAACTTCATTTCAATCTAATCTAAGTTCATCTATCTACTAATTTATTTCTTCAAAAGTACTTTCACTCTAAGGCTATCACCTTAAGAATTTATATAGAGACTTAGCACATTAAAGGCATAGGAGGCGTTGTTCCTTCAGTGTTGATCTTCTTCAATCATAGTTTATTATTTTTTTGAACTAACTTTTGAATAAAGACATCTTCTTTCAGTTATTTTTCTTTTTCCACTAAAATTTTAATTGCACCTTATACTTATTCCTGATCTTGTTGATATGCAAGTAGTGACCAATACACACAATTGATGTAGGCAGTCTATCACAATAAGAATGTGACCAAACATGAATACTCCTAGCCTTCTTATGTTGGAATCACAACTTATATTTCTACTTCAATGCCCAAAATCAAAGACTTCAAGAGTACCAAAATAGAAACAATTATAGTGCAAGTTGTGTATGCAGACTATAGCCATTAATAATATTTGTTATGGAATCTAGTGAGAAGATGCACCTTCTTAGGATGATTACAAAGAAATTACAAATTGAAGTATGGATAAGCTCAAATTAGATGTAGGCATTGTCATAACCCAATGCAAATCTAACTCATTCCTTGAATTCTTTTAAAATCAAACTTGCATCTCAATTGAATTGATTCTTTTTATATATATATAAGTCTTAAGATATATCCATAATGATTGTAAATGCTACTATAAGATCTACACAATGTGGTGTAAATATAATACATCTACATCGCAACTATATAAATAGAGAGAGAAAGTATAAGCTTGTTGCTGTCAATAATTCAATCTATATGTCACAAAAGCTCATTGTATTCTACTATCTAAATAAAATTGAAAAAGAATTATCCTACCAACCAATGCTCTCCTTGCTATAGGAATGAGGCTAAGTAACCACCTTTGAGCTCTGAATTATACTCTAAAATTTAAATATTTATTATTTTCCTATTTTATGATAATTAAACATGTTAGATTAAGATTTATATAAGTGGAATTTAGTTTTATAGAATTTTTAGGATTACAACCCTTGATGGTATAAATTATAGCTTAATTTCTTGAATTAGGTTAATTAGGACTAAAGTAATAAGAGTTAGAAAATTAGAATAACAACTTAGTTAGTTTAATAATTTAGAAGTTGTTAGTCATTACTATAAGGGTTGACTAAAAGCCTATGAGTGCATCTATAATCA